GATTAATTGTATGTACTACAGGTGGGCACCACTCACACCTGGGTCACAAATGAATAGTAAGGATGAACTGATATGTTACAAGACAATAGGCTTCAATAACCTGAGATTAAGATTACAACTATCTTAATTACATAAGGGGAGGTATTTGAAAACACTAATTTTCTCAAGAAACATTACAAAAGTCTGAAAATTCAAGGTGCTGTTAAAGTCAAACAGCATTAACTCTGACCTCAAGTATTAACAACTTTCCATCCTCATAACCCACTGCATATTACAATGTAAAATAGAGACATTTTGATTAAGGAGGGTTTAATAAGCACATGGCTGTATAAATCCACTTTATGTACTGTGTGCCTGTGACATCAAGTAATTCGAGTACATATGATTTCTCATTACCCTGCACCCATTGCACACAAGTTATATAATACCTGGCTCAGACCTTAAGAGGTATGTTGTAGCCCCAGATACAGAAACTACATGCCCATGCTCAGTCTTGTAGTACAAGAACATATTTAAAAGCAGCATATATATTTGTTCCTGCAAAATTTCAAACAGATTGGTTTAAATTAAGTGAAATTAGAGATATGGTAAAAGAATCAAGTTTATAATAAAATACTAATCTCAATCTTAACTAGGGAGAAAACCAATCTCTCTCCTTAATCTCATCCAACAGGTGTGATAGCTGTAATGCTCATACATGTTAGCAGGACAACAGACAAGCTGCCTTTACTGCATTCTCACCAGCTAAATAAAATGAAGAAAAAAAGCAGCCAATGAATATACAATTAGAATAACTACCATCTAACTATTTCCAAACATATTGGATTTGCTGCTGTGGGATCTAGTGGGATCTGTCAGGCATTTGCAAAGCAATCCATCACCATAGTATTTCAGTACCAAGGGACAGTTATAATCTATATTGCAGTCCATCATGCAATATCTGAAATTCAACTAGTCCACACAGGAGAGAGGGAAACGCTCTTAAACAACAGAAAACTGTCACCTGGGAATGTTATAAAAAACACACTCCTAGAGCCAGAGAGTCCTTCAACTTTTGCCTCCTTTGAAAAATTTTTCCATAGTAATTAGAACTTCCAATTTTTATTGAACCACCAGAATAAGAGGAATGTCCCATCCCTAAAAAAAATGTATTTTTGAACCCATGAGAATATACATATGGTATAAGTAGTTTTTAAAATAGTGCAGATTCTTCACTTTACAGTAATGCTGAAAATGCAGTTTTTTCTAATTTACTTCAGTTATCCAATGGCTCTAAAGAAGTCAGATAACGTACTTTGTTGTAGGCATCAAAACGTAGATGGGTGATCAGTAAGACCTAGGAGTCTCAAATTATCCTGTTACAACACTTATGTGCGTAAACTATTGGCTTGCTTTTTATGACATAGTCAGACAAAAAAATCCTGTGTATTTTAAGCCTACATCTGAAAACCATAACACTGCCAAGCCTTAAAGGAAACAAAATGAACTAAACACAGAAAAAGTATCCATCTTAGTACCCTTCTTTCCAATACATTTACAGAACAAAATGCCATTTTTTATTCCGTGTGTAATTACACAGTTAAAATAATCACCACCTATAGTAAGTAGTCCATCTGGTTTACCGAGGGAGCAAACGTCGGTGCAGTATGATCAACATGACTAGTCTACACTGACCCTAGAGAAACATTTGCCTGCTCTACTGAACAGCATAAGGGTGCTACAAAACAAAACTCACAAGAGGAGGGAAATTATACAAGACTTTATCCACTTTATTTTATATTCTACTTATGTTCTAAGCAGTTACCTTTTATCCTATTTTCAAATTATACAAAGCTGCTTCTAAAACTGAAAAGAACTTGGTTCTCTGCCACACATGCACAAAGACCAACACCATAACATCACTGCAAATTTGTATTTTCTTCTCACCAGTGCTCTCACCCACAAAACCAACATAGGGACAACCTGTCAGAGTAAAAATACAAGACATTGGTCATTACAATATTATAAAAATAGAAAGAGGTGAATAAGTGGAAAATATAAGTACTGTATATGAATATCGAGTTTGAGATTCACAACTGGACATTTCTAACTTCACTGCCACCAAAAACTCAACTCCCCTTGGAGACAGGAAAAATTCAGTTAATCATTTGGATCACATTTAGATAATAAGATGGAGATAGGAACAACCATTTAGATTAAAAAAAACAGCTTCAGAATAGAACAAAAGCATGTGAGCGAATTGTAGAACAGAAAACACCTACAACAGAGTAACCAACATGCCAAGGAAGCCAGTATTTAAATTCCTCACTACTAAGAGTAACCAGCATCTGTGTGGCCCCAAATAGGTAGAGTTCCCCAGAACCTCCCACACAAAAATACAGATTGCTCTATAGAAAGATCTGCCACTGACTGAACCCTTCCCACAGAACAAAGCAGGTCATACCACTTCAACATTGATGTTTCATTAGCATATCAAACAATATGCTTAAGAATTTATCTATTCAGATATTGAGAGGGAGTCAAACATGGATCATATTTCACTTTCTCTGTAGTAATTATACATTTATACTGTCACCCACCGTGACCATTCAAAAGTGTCTCCCTATACACCTTTTATTTGCTGACTCCTCTACCACTTGAAAGGGACAGAATCAACTTATTATTAAATTAACTAATGACAAAAAAATCTAGTTCCTGATGGAACACACTTTAAAAACTTTTTCAAATGCACAAGGGTTGTCCTCTAAGGGTCTTTTTTTCCTCACAGAAAAGGAAGAACATGGGAAACAGTGAATGTGACAACATATAAAAGTGTCAAACTGATTAAACAGATTAGAAAAACAGAAAAATATGTAACCAACAACCTTCCTTCAGTTAGAAGTTTCAAGTAATTATAGCAGTTACTAAATAGATAAATATGATTTTCATGTTGACAGTGTCCCTTTAACATCTTTGTCTAACTGACAAAACTATCCTGTCTATGCCCAGTTTCTGGAGTCATCTCAGAAGATGAATTTTGCTTTAAGGATACTGTTTGGGATCTGTTTTCACTGTCTATAGGGCCAGGTTCCTGGTGGTAAGTGAGCACTTTGTGTACAAAACCACAGAAGGGGGGAGGGGAGCCCTTTCCTGCAACTAGATATCAAAACAGATCTACAACCTTAGAGTAGAAGCCAATCTGTAAACACACCAGCTCTTGTGTCTCAATGAACAGGCTGATTTTCAATCCGCCCCCCCTCCCCCCTCACAAGACAGCTGCTCTCTCTGGGAAAGGGCAGAGGGCATTGGAGGGCTCAGCTCCTCCAGGCTTCTTGGAGGGGGACGAGACACGATTTGCCTTTATAAACATGCAATCAATCTCGTGAACTAAGGGGGGGTGTAAATTCTGGACTGGAGAAGTGCAGCTGTTTTTTGCTAAGGGGCAAGGGTGGAGTGCAACCCCTGCCCGCAGTGCACAAAGGCTTTTCCAAGGAGAAAAATACTGAGCAATTTAGAGATTAAACGGGAAAATAAATAAATGCAGATCAGCGAGCCTTGCTGGCTTCAGGCAGATCAGCTTCCCCCTCTGCACGCACACAGCTAACGCCTACCCAGGGATGATGAAATGGGAAACGGAAATTACCATTTCAGACAACTTTTCATATTGTTCCTTCTAGCAAGTGCTGCTGCGCCTTCCCCCCACGGAGGGGGCTGCCCCTTCGCCCAAACACGTACCTCCCCACCGAGTGGCGCACACCCCCCCAACCTAGGGGCTGCCCCTTCACCCCACATGCACGTACCCCCCACCTAGGGGCTGCCCTCCCCCCCCCACCGACGGGCTGGCCCTTCCCCCCCACGTACGCACCCCCCCACCGAGTGGCTAGCTTTCCCCCCCCACGAACCCCCCACCTAGGGGTTACCCCTTCACCCCCAACACACGCACCCCTCCCCCCACCGAGGGACTGCCCCTTCGCTCCCACGCACGCACCCCTCCCCAAGGGGCTGCCCCTTTCCCCCCCACGCATACCCCCCACACCTAGGGGCTGCCCCTTTCCCCCCACACCACCGAC